AGTTGAAACTCTCATTTTCATCATATTAAAATTTTTGAAATTCAGTTAACGGAATCTGCCATGGGCTCTCAGCGGGGACAATCTCAATCACACTTCATGTGGGGGCATGCAGGTCAGGGCATGGTGTCAACAACCCTCACACTGGTTGGAACATGAAGACACATCTGATGGTAGAAGAGACTAGGCTGGGACAAGATATCAGTGCAAGTCAGTGAAATACGTTGTGCTAGTGGTATTGTGTATACATGTGTAACAAGATGTACATATGGTCCGTGTAGTAATAAGTAGTAAAAGCAGTGGCAGTAAAAGTACGCCTTACACCCCATTTCCATAGATTTTTAGATCGATCTATCCCTGTGGGGAGTCTCACTAGTTTACTGTCAGCTTGGCCGGCATAAGCGTCTGTCCTGCCTACTAAAAGCTGTAAGGGGGTAATTAACTATGGTGCTGACTGCAATTTAGCGTGAACCCCATCTAAATCTCTGGGAAAGCACCCTTAGTAGAAGTAGGCCTATTAGTAGTAGTAGTAGTAGTAGTAGTAGTAGTAGTAGTAGTAGTAGTAGTGCACTTAGTAGCAGTAGCAGTATGGGAAGAAGTAGTAGCAGGAGAAAAAGGAGCAGTTCGTTTATAGAAGAAGCAGTAACTGTAGTTGTCGTCAAAAATACATCAGTTTTAACCTTTAAAATAGTAGCAACGTTCACAGTAGCTGCAAGTGTAGTGAAGCTAACTAGTACTGTATTTGTAAATGTAGTAGCTTGTACATGCAGTAAGGGTAGGTTGGACATTCATATTGTTCTCTTATTACAACAGTAAAGCGTCTACTCATAAGCAGCTGCATGGTTGATCACATACATCGAATATGGTTTTCATTTCAGTTGTGTCAAATGACGGGTCATTGGTCCGCTTGGCTGTGTTTAACCGTGTACAGTCCTACTGGCATCACATCAACGATCACGACGATGTCGACTCCAACATTGCGGTAACTGTCGCTTGAATGAGTGACACGTGGATTTGCGTTAATTGAGCTTCATCATGATTTATATATTAATTGCATTATGGAAAGCCTTCCTGTTAGTTTATATAATAGAGACCTTTTGCAGCTCTAATGAATCTTATTAAAGATAAAGTTGAATTGCGCCAAGCCTTTGTTTCAAAAGTAACAATATTAATCAAATAGTCTTAAACACGTTTTCAAAGCTGCAAATCCTGAATAAGTAAAGCGTTTAGTACTGATAAGTGCACAAAAATCGTGACATAAAATACGAAACCCACCAATCGCAGCTGTTAAACTTGACAGTGCGAGAGACCTCTTATATTCAACGGCAGTTATCAATGTATTCAAAGAACACATATCATTTCCGTATGTTAACGTCTGGTAAAGTATACAAGACTGTTAGGCGTTTTCAGGCAAGCGTGTGTTTGTACGTGCGTGTGAGTGTGTAAAATCATCCGCGTGCGTCAATTTAATTCCATCTGAACGTATTTGTGTTCAGATATCTAATTCATCCACTTTGCTTCCTTTGCGGATTTTTTTTCCTTATAGGTCTTATAGGACGTCCTTTAGAAAATTGGCTAGAAATCCTATAGGGCCCCACAATGCCTTGTGTCTTATAAGATTCTATAAAGTCCCATAGAGTTCCATGGGAGGTCCAAAACGAAATCTACGTTAAAGTTACTCTTTAAAAGGATTTGTATATTTTTCCAGTCAATATCGTACACCAAGAAGTCAGCGATCAGTTCGCTCCATGTTGTCTGGTCCATTAATTCAAGGGTCTATCACGACGCCCAGTGTTCCCGTTGGTTCGTGACTTTCAATGGAGCAGAATGCTCAGATCCGGGAAATATAGAGAGTGTCATATACGAAGACGATGTTAGTGGCAACTCACACTCAGATTGGTATCAGCCTAACATGAGTAAGTTTCTTTATAGTCTCATTTTTTGAAAAAAATCTGTGGATATTCATTCATTCATTCATTGTGCAAACCATATCTGGCAGATTTTGTTTCAGTTTAAATTTACTATCCGTTTTATTGCAGAGTTTTCACATCACTATATAAGGCTTACCGTAGCAAAATCATTCCGCATTTCATCACATTTTGCTTATATTCCTGTACCGTTATCTCCATAATTGGGGGGTTTACATGCAAAAATATTATCTACGTTAAAAAATGTCACAAGTGATGAAATATCTTGTTTACAAATCTCACCACATGCAGTTTAAAAATATTGTTATTTCATTTCACGGAGCGTCTTCTCTAACAATAAATATGAGCAACACAGTTGCGGTTATATTTTCTCTAATACAAAACACTTGGTTATGTACTGTGTAAAGGTTTCCCAATACAGTTACCCATTTTCTTGTGGAATTGGAGTGATTCATAAAGCTTAAAGTTTCTTTTGTGTTGCTTTGACTGACCGCTAACCTTATGGTCAGAGAGTCCGGTGTCTTGTTCCAGAAAGTCGTCCATGACGAAGAGTCCAGAACAGCGAGTTATTCTAGAAACCAGGAGTTCTGCGGAACGTTGGCTCTGTGTTGCTTGACACCAGAGCGGGAAGACGGCGATTCGACTCCATCCGGGGACATACACAGTTCTAACTGTTTGTGTATTTTTCTATTTCCAGTCGAAGGTATCTGCCATGGTTTGAGTGCCGGAAGTATCAGCGTCAATCTAGCTGTCGGGTATTGTGGTGGTTACGGCGCTGGCGATGCACACTCTGGCTGGCAATCTGGCACTTTTGCTATGGTGGAAGAGGTCTTTATGGGAGCATGATTGGTGGATATACGATACAGCACGGATCGAACTTAACGCAATTAATGACAAACAGAAATATGAAAATAAGACTCACTCTGCTACACGTACATAAGATGATGGAAATTTGTGAATTTCATTTGGATTTTAGTGGTCATTCTTGTTGATGCAGTGATTTTATCATGGTTATCTTTGTCTAAGGCTCTGACAGTTTTAGTTTGGATGTCTGGTATTGACACTTGGAGGTTAAGCGGTGCATAAGGCGTCGGAATTTTTATTTATTTATAAGTCTAACGGAACAATTTCAGAATCCTCTAAGGTTATTTTTTTTCTGTAAAAGCACCTTTATTTTAGATGACGATTACACCATATTATTAATTTATGGATCATATGTTGTTTCCAGCTCGTTCGAAATATCTCATATCTCTAGATAAGTGACAAGGTATGCTATCCACGTGTACCGCTCCTGTCAATTTAAAGATTGGTTTAATCAAAATAAAGAATTAAAATACTGATAGTTTTATTTAACTGTGGTATTTGGCTGTTCTAAAACAGATTTTAGATCACATGAGGTGGGTTAAACCCCCAACCAATATCAAGCTTGGGGGTTTATATTCAGACTCGAGGGTGGGGTCGGTTTGTTAGAGGGGCCGTCTTCACCGCCGTTTATATCAGGGGCTTATTGTGCTATACATTTAGCTTAAAGAAAGCCCCCTCCTTCTCCCTCTTTTTGTGCTTAGGACTGAAGTGGTTGAACAAGTGTGTCGGGAATTGGGGGAGGGTCATTTGCGTGTAAGGCCCATCCCACGTAGGGCTCATCCCCAATGGAACTATCGTTCTACGTATATCGATCCTACTCGGCGGGCACTCCCGCTGAATGCAATCAGATTAACAAATTAACACGCCCCCCCCCCCCCTTCTTGGCGTTGAGTAGAATAGAGATAAAAGCTGGTGGTTACATGTATACGAGAACGTTGCAGAAAGAGACGAGGTCTTTTAATCTGTTAATGTGATTGCATTCAGCGAGAGTCCCCGCGGAGTTAGATTTATCTACGCAGAACGATAGTTTCACTGGGAAACACCCCTATGCCCTGCAAAGTATTGCCGTCGGTTACAAGTGCTGTCGATTGGAGGAACCCTTAGTTAGTAGAGGTATTGTATTGTCGGATTTTAGTAACTGCATAAAAAATCGATCAGTAATAAGAAATATGAGAAGGCGTATTATTCAGACTTCTGTCACTTTTCAGAGAAAGGACCTGTTTAACTTGTTTGGTGTTGGCTGGGCATCAGATTGTAAGACTCTTTTACAATCTGGACTGAAACCTAGTGTTGAAATAAACAAGCCTTCATTTCAGCCAAATGATAGTTAATCTTTTTTTATTACGAAATCAATATCTATTATAACACATAACATTCTAAAGCAACTTATTTGTGCGTAGGACTGAGCTAGGAACGTAGTACGGTGCAGCAGGAAGTAGACATATCTAACTATATATCATGGCAAAGGGCACAGTTCTCCAGTAATGAAGAGAGAATACATTTCAAATAACATGTGTCAAGAACGAATAGTTTTGTATCAGAAAGAAATTAAAAAAAAACACGTGAAAAATTAGATGAGGTTAACATATCCTATTACATGTAAATCATTATCAGCCACTAGTGTCTCCTATAACAAAGTGAATCTTATAGGTGAGCGGCAGAAGGCCAAAATTTTCAGATTTAGTGTCCCCTTTATACACAGACCTGAATTATATATCATTTGAAAGCTCAGAGTCTGCTGGTCAAAGTTAGCCATGATGTGGAAATGGCAATTGCCTGTGTAACCATGGAAACGGACAATTTCCAAGATGGCCGCCTTTTTTTTTGCATTTTTTCTAAAAATGCAAATCATTGATAAACATACCTAAAACATTGTCTATCATCTAACCTTTACATGTTTTGTGTTGAGGGAGGTTATGGGCTAAAAAAAACACCATACCAGAATTTCAAGATGGCCGCCGTTTTCAAGATGGCCGCCATTGTTTGTGAAATATTGGTCAAATTTTATCATTTTATTCCAAAACTTTACATATAAAATCAAAACAACAATGTTCATATAACCTTTATTGCCTGGATTACATTAAGTAATTATTATTACATTACATTGTGGCATTTGGTTAAATTTGGGAGAGGTTTAAGCAGTCAATTTTCAAATATTCAAAATGGCTGCCATGAAATGCCTATTTCCATGATGTGGATTTTAGTTCAGCTAAATCATCACAAAATATCTTTAAATGCCAAACTCACACATATATTAGTGCTAGATGCTTGATGCTACATGATGATTCAAACAACCTTTTCAAAATGGCCACCATTTTCAAGATGGCGTCCATTTTCCTGTTAAAATTCACTAAAATAGCATTTTCCAAAGGCAAAATTTATACAATAAAAAAAAATCATATACAATATAAAAACAAAAAAACTCCAAAATTTTAAAAAAAGTTTTTGGCTTTGAATTGATGTTGTTTTATAAGATTTAAATTGTTTTTTAAATATGATAAATGCAAATTTAAATGTCATTTAAACGAAATGACATTATTTTCACATTTTATGCTGGTGACTTCCTGTCAGTCAAATTCTCACATGAAAGTAAACAGCATGCAACAAATTATATCACTCTTCTAACATTGCTTTGAAGAATGCTGTGTGTTTCCCAAATTAAAAAAAAACTACCAGTTAACTTCAAAATGACAGCCAAATCCAATATGGCCGCCCATGTTAAATTATCATTCTTATTTTTGTATTGCACCTTTGTGGATTATTAATGTTGAAATTACTATTTTAAACATTTTGATACTTTCTATTTAATAAAGAGATTTTATTATGGTAATATTTAAGAGGAAATAAATTTAAGGTACCAAATATAGCAGAAAAATGACAATGACACCTCTATCATATCTATATTGTTTTCACTTGTAGTTGTGTTTTTTTCCCCATAATCCCCTTATGCAGGTCAGATTCCATAAAAAAAGAAGCTTTTGTCAGCAAGATATGAAATTGTCGGGGTTATGTGTTAATTTTTTAATGTCAAATTAAAAAAAATAGAACACAAATACTGGCTTTGATTACTAAAACAATAATTAGGCATAATTAGTAATGGATACACTGAAAAAGGGATACAGGAACCCTCCTATGCATATTGTTTATCAATATCATTATAATGCTAAATCATCCACGTACATTTGATCTATTCTTTTCAGTATATCAAATGCTGACACAGCTTCTTGGATTGTTTTCCATACATTTAGAATGTTAATAACAATTTGGATTCACCAAAATGCTATGGCAGGTAACATGAGGTGATAACTTTATTAGGTTCTTAGATAAAGATGATTTGATTGCAAGGGATGCTGTATATCATGCATCCTCTCTTTCCTCTTACAGGGTACAGTGTATATAAGTACTAGTAAAACCAATCTGACTTATCACCCCTCAATGAAATCTGGTAATCTATATGATGTTGCAGTCTATCAACTGATAGCAGAAATAGATTATGACCTGATGGCAAACAATAAAGCTTTTACACTGCTAGTATCTAGTCTTCTTGACAGGTAGTGATTTCTGCTCCTTTCTAGTGTGGCGTCCAACTATCGAGGTGAAAAGCTCAAAATGAGACTACAAAGCATTATGGTGATGCTGTTTCATTTTCTTGTATAATACGGACAAGGGAAGTTCACTAGCTGTTATGTGTTGTAGTAAGATTTCTTTAGGTGACACTATCAAAGCTGCCCAAAGAATCATACAAGACCTGAGCTCATCAATCTCACTAGATCCATAAGATACAGTGACAGAAGATGCTGATCACTTGTCTTCCAATTAATCAATGTATACAAAGCAGTTTCTATCTTGAAAACACAGAAAAAAGGTCTTTCAGAATACTACCCCTTACCAAGTGACATTAGTCTCAGAAATTAAGCCTATTTGTCCCAGATTTGCTTTAAAGTTTGTTTTTTGGATTAACCAACTTAGATGCATTTAATGCAGCGAGCAGTGAGTTTCCATCATCTGATAGTGTACACAGAAGATGCCTGGCTATTGCTGAATGCTGAAGTTCTTCCACCTCTACAAGTAGGACTTGCTGCACAATGATTTTGGGTCTTGTAGTTTGATAGATACCTTTCACAGCCACGGAATTTGCATCTCCTATGGTGATATTAGAAGGATTAATGACATACATTGCTGAGTTAGAAGTAGAAAGGCAGCAAGATGGTGTCTACATTCCACATGACATTGTGTCATGCTGTGATGGTGGTCATATTATCCATGAGGGTGACGACAACATTGACATTAGTGCAGAAACTACGGATGGGAAAACACCTTCCATGCTATGGTGAGTCAGTAGTTTTTCAAAAGCAAGTTCTACACCTCCCTGTGAGAATGTAAAAGAATCCCATTAGAAGTTGGGAATTCCAAGTCACTTGCTCTCTCTGATAAATCCAATTCACCAATGGAATGCACACCATTTTAGAAACCTAAGACCACTTGCTGAGCCACCAAGAAGAGAGGTTTTAGAACAGCTCAATTATTACAAAGAGAATGTAATGCAAGTTAATGTTATTGCATGGAGTCTTTTGAGAATGCCCCATCGAAATCTCCTACCTGTAAACAATAAAGTTTAGCTTTGGCACCTGCAGGTCATTTCTTTCTGGACAGGATTCAATCAGCTGTCTGTGAAGAAAATGACCTATACTGCAGTTGCATGTATGCCACTTCTTGATGTTAAACCTAATGACGTGTACACATTTTACACCACAATGTTGAAGTGTTGGGGTACGAGTGCTTCACTTGCACAGCAATTTGTTGTACAAACGGACGACCAACAGCTATATGCCATAGCCCAACAGATAAACTGGTCTTTTCCTGAAGAGTTTGGTTGCCATGTCATTTGTATGGGTGGTTCCCATACACTGTCATGCTTCATTGCTTCTATCGGGAAAATTTGGGCCGTTGCAGATTTGTTGGCCATTGGTGGCCATTGTAGAGTCTGATGTTTATGCAGCATCCACTTCAGCGCAGAGGGTTGTGTGGAAAACAATTCAACATGGCAATAAGTGGGCTTACTTTGGCATTTAAAGCTTTGATATCTCTCAGATTGTCAGCTTTTTATTTTGGTACCAAAGAAAGAATAGCGAAGTTTCACAGTTGGTGTGGTATGAGGTGTCAAATGTGTAGGAGTTTTACAAGTCTTGTGCTGTGGGTTTTGTGGGTGACCAACATGTATCTGAGAGTATGTCTGAGGATCTGCTGCCAAATTTCTCAGATTTCCAGGCCTGGGGATGAGGGGAATTTCCTACATTTCAGTTTTGGGACTGCCTCCTTCAAGCTCTTCTTTTTAACTTTGTTAGAACAGGTTGCACTGGTTACCGGGAGATGCAGCTTGTGTCAGTAAGGGCAATGTTGCCCAAATTGTTTGCGAAAAACTATGCTCAAAGGACCCAGTGTACCTACTAGATATGTCAGAATCCATATTCTCTGGGGACATGTATTGAAATTGATTAGGATTTTGATGAAAGAGCATGAGTGACAGGTCACTAATGTTGATACAAAGAACACGTTCAGGGTTTAGCATGTATATGTGTTCGTGGGTGTGTGTGAGTAGATAACGCATGCAGGCACAAGCATTTTAAGGTATATATGAGAGTATGGGTACTTAGAAATGTACTGAGATAAAATTTTGAAGATAATTGAAGCGGCAAAATAGTGTATTTATGTGCTCCTTTCTTTACTGAGAAGTCAACTTGATAATTGTAGACCGCAGAAATGCATCATGGATTTGCAGTGGGTTATATGGACTGATGCACAAATAAAGATAGGTCCCTGTTTTAATATGACAGACATTTTGGTATTGGTAAATACATTAAATATGATAGATCAAAAAAATATTTTTTTAAATTGTCTACATATTTCCAAACTATGGGATTTCTTTTTACTGTGACAATCGCGCACAAAGGTTCACAACAAGAAACACAGTATTAACTTTGACTTGACTTAACATGTGTTAGTACATATAAATATTGGAAAATCCAAAAATTGTTTATTATAAGTGAAAAGTTGCAGTAATAGCACATATCCTACAATTATTTTTCTTTTACAACCATATATGTAGTAATGCTTTGCGAATAATTTCATCCTTTAGATGTGCATAATACAATTTTGAGAAAAAAACTCCATTTGGCGGCCATCTTGAAAATGGTGGCCATCTTGAAGATGTATTTANTCAGCTTCTTACAATTATTGATAAACATTTTGAAGGTATCGTTATTCATTTGAATTGTCAAATTTATAGGCTAGTCCTGTTTATCAGTCAGTGTGTGCTAAAGTACATAATGTTTTTCCTGTAAAAGACAGATATAAGACTAGGCTCTTTCTTATTTATATGGTAAAGAAAGTAAGGGTTTTGTTCTCCAAATAATTATAAAATGTGGGTTATTTAATGTAAATATAAATAGTTGTGCGAATATCTCCTTCAATGGAGGTTTTTAATGGGATGTTTTCACCCAGTAAGGGTGTTTAGTTCAATCTGTTTTTCTGAAGAAACACTGGGTGTTCTTTCAGTTAATTTTTTTCATTCCTTGTTACATATTGACTCCTTCAGTTTGTTGGCAAAAAATGTAGTTAAGTTAATATACATCATCACTGGTAATATTGGCTGTCTAGGTACCATGTGTGTTACCTAGAAGCATTGTTAGTTTGGTACTCACTAGTCTCTTAAAATCACTGCTTATGCTGTATTAATCCATGGTTATTAAGCTCAGGGTGACCATTGTAACAGGTAGTTACCTTGACCATCACCTTGCTTTAGACAATCAACAGTTATGCCCCTTTTTTTGTTAAAAGTAATTGTTTTCAAGGCAGATAGTGGTTATTAAAGGTCTTGTAAGATGGTTTGAGTAAATGAATCTCAAAACCTCACTATAGGATAGTTTAATTGGAATTGTAACTTTTCCAAAAAAAAAAAAAAAACAAAAAAAAAAACATTTTACATATCAAATGTTCAAGTATGAAAATGAGCATATGTATGTTCTAATATAAAACCTGTAGTCTTTCTGTCATATGTACCCCAGCAAATACCACTTATTTAGCACTCTTCAATAGGTCATGATGTAGTTCATTACTTCTCTATTTTAAGCTAAGCATTTTTTTTTATTATAGTTTTTTTTGTTTTGTTTTGTTTAATATAGCACTTTTATGCTGCATTTTAAACTGTGTTAGTTTGGAGATAATTTATGAAGAAAAGAATCAAATGAAGATTATTAATGTTTAAGAGCAGATTCATGTTAGTTAAGTATTTACAGTATGTGAGAATTTATCAGCAGCCCATAGGCCAAATACTTCCATATAGATATAAGCTTCAGTGTGTCCTTAACTTTGTTAATATTTTGATGTGTATCTAAAGGAATTCTCCATACCCTCATCTTATGTTTTCAAAGGGGCATGTGTCTCAAATATAGAAAGATATATATATATATATTACTATATTTCATCTTTGAAAATTGTTTTTCATTGTCTTCTTGTTAAATTTCTGTTTTCATTATTTATACTTGTACATTTTCTGTATAGTATTGTATATAGCTCTGTTGATGTATATATAATAACTGAATGTCTCACTTTCCAGTCTGTCCAAGTTTCAATAAAATACAATATGAAATTATTTAGGCACGAGTTGTTTTGACACCACAAAATTATGATATCATGAAAGTACTTGAAAAAGTAAAGCCTACTGTATTTCAAACATATCTTTCAAAACAAAAGTTTTAAAGTAGTGCACCTCTGGACTTACAAACTTCATCTCAGTGTGGTTTACATTTATAACAATATGCTTGTCACATTTTTTTACCCTGATTCAGACTGGCTGTTACCATGCTGCTCTCACCATCCTGTGGAAGATACAGCCCGAGTTGCCACATGAGGCACTGAAATTGAGCATATGCACAACATCTTTGACTGGGTTCCCATCCCTAGATCGATCTAACAAGGGTTCCTCACTAAATTGCTTTCAACCCAAGCGGCTTAAACATCTGTGATGCCCACTAAAGCTGCTAAACAATAATTAATTACCCCCTATCAGCCTCAGCAGGTGTGACAGACGTCTAAGCTAGCCACCCAAGTTAATTGCAATTACACGAGAATCCCCTCGGAGATAGTTTGATCCAAAGATAGTCTCTGGGAATGGTCTCTTTCACTGCCAGCCCAGGTACTTTCCCCATGCTTAAATCTCTCAGTGATGAGTGCCAGGCGAGGAGATAGCAAGAAGCATTTGAGAATGACTGATATGGATGAGGATGAAACCACATCTTGTTCCATAGGAAGACACTCTCGCCACAAGCTCAGCCAAGCGGGCAGTGTAAACACGTTATCAACATCCTCTTAAAATTTCAGAAGCTACATCCGTAGCCATTTTAGTTCTTAAATTACTTAATAAGTACTAGTCTTTTGATCATCAGAAAGCATGTATTATGATTCTTGTTTGAATCCACAAAACAAATTACAAAACTCATGTTTTTGGTAAGGGTAATTTCTTATAAACATTATATATATATATATATATATATATATATATATATATATATATATATATATTTTTTTTTTTTTTTTTTTTTTTTTTTAAATTTATTTGGACCCCTTTTTT